AGAGTCAAAGACTAAATATCGTTCACAAAGGCAAACATTCAGACACAGATGGATCCTACATTTATTCACAAGCAGATATGTACACTGAACATACATACTGTTGATGCTAGCTGCACTAAGTTGTACATACAGACACTGTATGCACAGTGCAGGGACAATGTTGGTATAAATATATGACATGGAGTGGAAAAGAGATGTTAAACTTAAACGCTGAACTTTGTCATTAGTGAAATTTCAACATTTCGAATGAGTCAAAAGACCTTAGAATGAGTAAAATCACCTTGAAATATATTTTGCCAGAAATTAACATTGTGAAAGCTACAAATACTTTTACAGATGCATAGTACAGAGACAATTTTTACGAAGGCATATATATACATGACAAGCAGTAGAAAGGAGATGCCAAACTAATGATGATATTACCAACATTTCAACACTACAAATAATGAGTCAAAAGAAACCAGTTGTAAAAGAAAGCATAGACCAATGGATTGAGCATTGAATTTGACCATCCAAGCCACTTAAGTGCTGCAATCACAGCAACAGGTATTGTGTAATTACTCAAAGGGTTAAAGGTCATACAAAGAAAGAAAAGAGTCCAACAGATGAGAAAAACTCCCATTACAATAGCCAGAGTTTTGGTGGACTTTCTCTCCTTCTTAATTTCAGACTTTGTGCTCTGACAGGTTGTGTTCTGGATGCTGCATGCCTGTCTCTGTGCCACCATCAATATCTTTAAGTAGATGGTGAACATTATGATCGCTGGAATATAAAATCCAAAAACAATTACCACAAATGCTAAATGTATATTTTGAAATAAAGCGCACCTTCTTGTAGATTGTCCTTGGTTCACTCCCAGAATTGTGATGCTAAATGCAATTAAAGCAGAAACAGTCCAGCTCACCAGGATCATGATCACAATAACACGGACATTTATTTTAGTTCTGTACCTCAGAGGTTGACAGACTGCATAATATCTGTCAACAGAAATAAAGCACAAGTTCAGAATAGAACATATGCACAGAAAGGCATCAAATCTGCTTCGCACCTCACAGAATAATTCTTCAAGACACCAACAAGAGCTCACAGCCAGTACCACGCTAAAAGGCAAAACTAAAACCCCAACAAGCAGGTCAGCTAC